AACTACACAAGAATATAGAGAAAAAGTATTGCTTTGGCAATTTCATGTGAAAAAGAAAATCAAAGAGTTTGTGAAATAGCAAATCATGACAACTTTTGAGCCTCCAAAAGCTCCTCGATTAGAACAAATTTCGAATTCTAATAACCTTTGTATTAAAGTCCCCAAATACCATACTGCTGATTCTATGGTGATGGCGGCTCCAAATGGCTTACCTTTTGGAATAGCTGTGGATAATAATGAGTCCCTAAACAAAATAGATAAATTTAATCATTTAAAGGCTCATTTGGGGGATCTGCTTTGAACACTGTGGAGGGTTTTCCTATTTCAGCAGAAGCCTATGATAAAGCTGTACAATTATTAAAGGATAGATTTGCCAACTCCAAAATATTGCACACATGAACAAGATTCTAACTATGCAGCCACTGAAACACTCTAATGATATTAAGTCTTTTAGAATGTTTGCAGATAACTGTAATGTGCAATTAAGAAGATTAAAATCATTAAACGTGTCTCCCAAACATTATGGCAGTATTTTATGTCCTATGCTATTAAAACTTATTCACATGAGCTGTCGTACTAAAGAAACGTAATCGCCTTGTCGCCTAATTGAGTCACTCTATAGGTATCACCTGGTAAAACTTCTGTAACTACCAAAGGTCCTCGATACTTTTGTTTGCATTTTGGTCGATTCTCCAGTTGATTTAGGTACTTTTCTCTAACTACTATTTCTCCTCATTTGAATGTTAAAGAATTGCTTTTCTTCTTGTTATAATTTGCTTTAATTTTCATCTGCACATCTTCAATTCTCTTCTTTCTATTCTTTAACGTATAAAATTGTCTCCTTTTTAGATACTCTCTTTTACCAGTTATTGCTTTCCTAGGAGATCTGCTCATTTATCTTAGATTGCTTTATAGATGGATTTACATCTTCCCGAGGTTTATTTCTTTTTGCAATATCTTTCTCCTGTTGTCTTTTATTGTGTTTCTCAACAAACCTCTTTCCTTTTAATTTTGTTTCTTCACCAGCAAAATTATCTAATACAGTTTATTTTTGTGAACTTCTTTCTTTCCCTGTATTAATCTCTTTCTCAAGTGCTGTAATTTTACAAGTCTTGCTATATTTCTTAAGCTTTTGATTATAATGCTTTTCTTGAATAGACTTACATTCTTTAACATCATTGATATCATCACTTCTAGTTTCTTCTTTAGGATATTTATTTTCTTCACTTGTAGTCCGTTTAATGATTTTCTTTGAAGTCCTTTTCCTTTTCAGTGACTTTTTACCTTTGGAATTAGAGACTTTTACAGTATTTGGATTTTCAAACTTTCCATCATAGTCCAGAACTATTCATCGTTGTAGTCATCACCCTAGCCTTTTCATCATTGTAGTTAGTGACTAGTATCACTGTTTCTTCCTGTATTACTTCCAATAATGAGCCCAACTCATCTTCCAATCCACTTATTAAAACTTCCAATAATGAGCCCAACTCATCTTCCAATCCACTTATTAAAACATAACCGTTATTTACTACATCAGTTTTAACTTTCATGAAATTAACCGTATTACTTCCAATTTCAGTTTCTTGGGAAGCCTTCAGTTTAATTCACAGAGTGTTGATCTCATTTTGCAATGGTGAAAATGGACAATCATTAGCATAGCATATGTGCAAGGTATTACCTATCTTGGCATATGCAATATGTGGTAAATCAATCCATGTTCAACCAACTAATAAGTCATATGGTTGCGTTTCATCTCCTACAATTAGAACTGTAATGTCCTTTCCTTCCACATTATCAATCTCTAAATTAACAGTTACTTTTCCCAATGCTCTAGCGGCTGGTTTACTCTGGTTCCCAAAGCCAAACAATTCCTCCACATCAGGTTTTATAATAAGATTCAGTTTCTTAGCCACAGACTGTTTCAATAAACACGAACTAGAACCCATATCTATGATTGCAATAATTTCTTCTCCATTACTGATGCGAGAATACTTTAAATATACAGTTGGTGGAACACCTGAATTCTGGTTCATAGATAAATTATTTTTAACATTTGTCAGTCTGAACTCTTAGACTTGCACTTTTTAAAAGTATGACCCTTTTCATTACATTTCCTGCAAATAATTTCTTTTTTAGGTTTGAGGACAATCCGTCGCTATATGTCCACAATCATTACAATTGAAGCATTTCGGCTCACCCTTTTCATTGCGGATACCAAAATTATATTCCCTTTTCCTATCATCTATTTTATAAAATTTATCTCTCAAATTGTATTTATTATCAAATTGTTTTTAAAACCCACTTTAAAATTACCGTTTGCATAGTCATTAACATTTCTGGGTCTTGAATACTGATTATAGGATACCTCAGAAAATTTAGAACCAAATTTAGGATTAGGATTATGCCTAAAGATTTTGTTTTCTACTTGAAGTACTTTTACCCCTATATTTTCATATTCATCTAGCTTTTCACCCAACTCTTCAGGATTAATGAATTTAGACCAATCATCAATGAAATTATCTTGTATAACAGTGAGGACCCTTTTCTTTAATTGATCCGTAATAATAAGCTGTCAAAATCTGTTACATTTAATTCAGCAAGCCATTCTTCAAAATAATTTTTTAATTCAAACGTGAAATCTCTCCATGTATTACGCAATGTTTTAATATGATCAACAAACTTTTGCTGAAACTGTTCAGGGCTTAACTTAAATTTTCTCAATAGCAGTTGTTTAACGTGCTTAGAGTCGTTAGCTTTTTCTTCTGATTCACGGGCAATTAATTGAGTTATTTCATAAGGCAATAGACCCAACAGCTGAGAAACTCAATTTTGTTCTAACCCAATACGTCGTGCCTGTCTCTCAAATAAGACTAAATAAAAACTTATATCACCTTCTTTCAAATCATACTTATGCATTAATTTACTCATATCACAAATATTATTTCTACTAACATTAGAAGCACCAGAAATCATTTACATCACTACTTCTGATTTCCGCTTCTATTTTCAAGGCTACAATTTTTATATCAGAACGGACATCTACATCAAGTTCTTTGTCACATTTCTTGCCCCTTGCCAAATAAGCCATCTTCAATTTTCAAACAATAATACATTAATTATACTTAAGTTCTTTCCATTTAATACTTAAACATAGCATAAACAGTTTATAAATGCACATACTTTTCTACCTTCAGTTTTGGTGAGCTTCTGCATTCAATTTAGGCTTAACGTACAGTAAGGCAATATGTTGTTAAATCCTAGGTAATAAATCTATTTAATCCCACTTCTGAAATGTTAGCTTTACTTCCTTTATTCTGAAACATTGCCGTCAAACATTACCGTTAAAAAAAAACTGTTGTTGCCAATCAAAAAAATACATTTGGGGGGGGGGAAATTACAGTTCTGACTGTTGCAATGTAGTGATGAATCTTACTTGAGATTGAGGAAGAGCAGAAAAGTATCTTATCGTGTAAAGGAGCCCATTTTAATTGTTTACAAAAATCATAGCATTTATCGCGGACATGCCCCATTAACCCCTTCGCGCCAACTGTCACGTATACGTGCCAGCAACGAACACACTTATCTACCGGCTGACACGCAGGCGTGCCAGAGCATTGTTGTGTTTTCTACTGACTGTCACATATTTGTGCCAGTACCTTGGAAAGTTTTTAAAACTATAATTTCTGCCACAAGATAGCACTGTATGTCCATATGGTTTCAGATACATGTACATTAGACTTTCTACTCGAAATGAGAGAAGCATGACTCACATACACGTGTTTTTGATTATATAAACAAATGGGGAACTAAATGTTTCCGAATGGCGTGATTTATGACGTCTCTTTAAATCGCACTTTATTCGCACGTGGTAGTTGTTTATTGTAAGTAGAAGTTTTATATGCGCTAAAGCGTTGAGTATTTCCGTTTACAGTTCAGTTTTTAGAAAATAATTAGATCTTGTTAGACGTGAATTCTTTCTGTTTTTACCATTTCAATGTCGAAGCGTCGAAAATGTTTAACAGAGCATGAAATAGCAGAAATGATGCAAAATATTTCAGATATTGATTCTGAAAGATTAACTGAAAGACATTTTCCAAAACTTTGTTCAGAAGAGACTGATAAGAAAATGACACGACGATGCTTCGTTTGTTCACATTCCCGGAAAAATCCTCCAAAACGGCAAATGAGTTATTACGAGTTCAAGAAATGTAACGTAGGACTGTGTGTAGATCCCTGTTTTAAAATTTTTCATACGAAAAGAGAATTTTAAGTAATATATTTAGTTTTCAGATGTATAATGTTAAAAGTCATAAAATGGTGAGTAATTAAAATAAAATGTGTAAAATATGCATTTAAACAAGAAATAAGGTAATTAAAGTATATATATAAAAATATCTATAAGCCGTTTAAATACTCTATAGAGCATTATTAAACAATGCATTGATACTTCGGAAATTTTATGGATTTAGGCTTAGTAGCAAACAAGACCCGGCCCTGGAGAGACGCTCGCGGAAGACACTGCCGGCCTCCGCGATAAGCGCGCATTTTCGCTACCCGGCTCGAAGGGGTTAAGAAAACTAAATGTGAATTCTGTTCTGGATTACATCACAATTTTTTTTGCTTTAAACAACAAAAAGGGGGAAGAATAAATAATGGGGATTCAGAGTTTACCGATCTAACTAATCAAAGTCAGGGAGAGGTTTTTTTTTTTGCAAACATTAACTGTTTACATTGAAAATGAAAATTTAAGGCAACTGGTGAGGGCACATACAGACACTGGGAGTTACATTTCAAAATATGCTGCAAAAACATGGGTTTGAAGAGTAGAGGAAAACACATATTTTAATATATTCTTCTTGTATTTGCTTATACTACAGAAACTTCAACTTGTATGTTTCTGTAACTACAAAACATCTAATAATCTGTTAAAAACACGATGTACATGATTACAATGAAAAAGTACAAAAATAACAAAAATTCATACTTAAAAATATACTTACTTGGCAGTACATATCACCAAATGAAAGATCTGGTTTATTATAGTCGATTTCTTCTTTAGGTAGTCGTTTCTTATCCTTTTTTCCTCTATCTTGTAAAGTAAAATACATAAAATCAATATTACATAAAAAGAGCTTTAATAATTTTAAAAGACATTATAAAATTATTTGGGCATTCTGTGATGGAAAAATCTGACCAGTTGTCATTTTTTTATACTTATTTTAAAGCTTAACATGGACTTTCTTGGTTAATTAGAAAGTAATTACAGTAATTACAGCATTATTACAGAAGGGGAAAGACATCAGTTTTCCCGATGTGTGATGCATCTTACTTGCTTTGCATAGGCTCGGTGAAAAAAGCCGGCATTGTCCTGTGTGTCGATCAATGCCGGCTTTTGAATCGTTTTGAATTATTCTAAACACAGCAGAAATATTAAATTCAAATTTAATTACCTACAGATAATTTTGTTTCATTTTCTTTTACATTTTGTATTTGTAATTTTGTTTTCATGTGTATAGTTAAAATTTTAGTATTTTGCATGTTTCATTTATTTCTATTAATGTGATATTCTTCATATTAATAGATATTAAGAATTAGTTCGTTCCTCGCCAACCAGGCTTCCGCCCTAAGGTGAAACCAATCAGAATTAATACCTGATCAGCGAAGATAAAATCTACTTTTACTACCAGCAGCCACCATAACTAGGTGGACTGCCAGATCAGTGATGCTTATTTTGTATTAGCAAATTTTTACAAAAATTTAAGAATATGTATAAATGACATCTTTGCACTTTGTGCGACATATGTACAAATGATATATTACATAACCAAAATTTGCATACAAGAGCTAAGCAGTTACAAATGCTGCATTCAACCATATTTATATATATATATATAAATACAAGTTTTAAAGTTATTAGAAACCTCTTAAAATCGTGAAGGCTTGAATTCATATTTTGTTCCAAATCTTATTTTGTTCTTAGCTAGTTGGAAACGGCCACACAATTAAATCCCAGTCAAAGCAATTAGATCATAATTACATAAAAAAATATGGTCACTACTTATGAATTAGTATTGAGAATTAGTATATTAAGTACAAACTTCAAAAACTGAGGTCATCATATTAAAATACTGATGTAGGCTTAACTGCTGAAAATGCGTGGGCTGGTGCGACGTTCCATTTCGGGGGTTCAGTCCGGTGGCTGTATGTGCTGATCCTCAAGGAGATAAAGGCATGGAAGCAAGCAACTCACCAGTGCACTCTTTCAATCAGAGAAAAAAGGATGGATGAATAGAATCATATTTCAGCAGTGGTTTTATATGAAATTTGCACCTCAGGTGACAGACTTTAAAATCACAGGGCCTTCATGAAAGAGCATTGTTAGTTTTAGACAATCTGGCATCTCACTCAATTGAACTGACGTTAAAATCAAGAGACAGACAATTTTTTTTGTAAAATATTGCTACCTAAGGTGACAGCAATAATAGAGCCAATGAACCAAGGTGTTATTACGTTGGTCAAACGAAACTATTGTTCTACCATGTTATGTAAATTGATCAAAGAAGACCCATGATCTTAAAACTTTTCTGAAAAATTTTTCAATTCTGGATGCTATCAATGAGAGTGCTGCTGCATGGCAGAAAGTGAAATCCTCAACACTAATCAAATCTTGGAGAAAAATTCTTCTGGACCTAGAAGAACATGAAAGTTTTTTAGGTTTTGATACAGACACAAAGGTGTCACCAGCTTAACTCGCGCAGGTTGCATACAATGCACCTGGTAGTAAACATGTGGATGAAGAAAATATTTCTGAATGATTGGAGCCTGACTGCAAACTTGCACTCATTAGAAATTCACAAAGATGAGCAAATTATTAGTTGTCCAAGGGAGAAAGAAGTATGAAGTGGCAGCCAAGGGCAGGAGGGTGGAGGCAGGAAGCAGTCAGCTGATTGATAAGCTCACACATGGAACTGCTCTTAATCATCTCCAGTGCCTTATGAACTACTTGGAAAGGCAAAAAGAATGGTCTGCTGACTAACAAAATGGCACTATGCAAGGCCATTGATCTTAAAAAAAGCTAACTCCGCAAGGAAAGGGAAAGTTCTAACTCACTTTTTCTGTCTGTCAAAGTGATAAATTTTGTCGTCTGAACAGTCAAAGTGATCCCCCCCCCCATATTTTACTGTACTGCGATTTTTGTTTGTTAATAAAACTGATTTAAAACTTTCTTAAACCACAGTTCCCCCAAAAAAACTATATAGGCAGTATTTTCAGGAATTACTTCTAAGAAAAATGCCTTGTGGCATTTTTCTTTTCATATGTTATAGTTACTTATCTCCACCTTTTTTTTTTTTTTTTTTTTTTTTTTTTTAGGGCCTTGAATTAACCATGATTTTGAGTTAATCGTACACATCTTCCCATATATTATTGTGGTAAATCAGAATTTGGCTTTATTTTGTAACTAGTGAAAAAATAAAAAATTAGAATCCTGAACGTGGTAGAGAAATACAGAAAATAATTTTAAATCTCACTCCTCAAGTTACCATGAGTTTTTTATGGGTTAACCTTTAAAAGGTTAAAAGACGGGTGGCCTAATAAATATCGGCCAGAACTGCAGTGTCTCAAAAAGATGGCTGTGGCCGAAATATCGGCCAGCGAATTCCCCCCCCCCCATCCTTCAGGGTGCGGAGATAGTCATTGTCCGAATAACCTCCCTTGCCATTTATGCGAGATGACCTTCGTGCGTCCCAGCTGTGGGGTTTCGTAAATTCCCTTTGGTTTCCCTCAGCAGTGAAATCTTAGCAATTTGACATTAGTATTAATTTCACCAACTTTTAAGTGTCATTAAAAATGTATTTTTTCTTTATATTTCCCCTTTTTATTGTAATTTTTGTATTTAATATTGCTGTTTGAAACAAGCAAAATGCAATGGAGTGCAATACAATGAAAATATAATCAATAAAATTTGTTTTTAAAGTAAAGGAAAATAATTAAAAAAAAAAAACCTTTATCACAAAACTGCAAGAAAGAACAATGAACAATAATGTCGTTGAAAGATGAAGTAACGATACAATGGGGGGGGGAAATCAATAAATTAAACTGAGTAAGAAAGAGTACTAATGGAAAAGGTAAACGAAACTAATGTAAGAAAAATACAACGGGATTTGTTTGATATATAAATATAAGTTGTTACACAATGCTTGGAAACAAATAAAAGCATACTGCTGATTTATACGAAAAACAAATAATCAAACACATCATTTTCAAGTATAAATTAAAAATGTTAATTAGTACATATAATTCTAAACTAAATTCAGTTTGGATACACATAAAAATGGAATAACTATGAACTGATTATAGGCGTGCATTTGCTGCTAAGGCGTATTTTCATTATGATGCAATGTCAAAAGTTAATTCCAACATACGACAATTATTTAGCTACGAAATCTCATTATAATATATGTTTCTTTAGTTTAGGGAAAAGAAACAGCAGAAAAGAGAACAAATTCAACAAATTCTTTTATATTATTCCCTAGTCCCTTATCTGAAAATTAACAAAGGTGACCTACAGGAAAAGTTGCAAATGAGTAGTAGTTTCCCTTTACAATAGCAGCTAAAAGGGGGTGGAAATGCATTTGGATTTCCCGTCTTTTTAAGTGAAACCTTTCCAAACTGCCCCGTCTCTTAAAGGTTAAGCTTAACTACACAATACTGATTTAAAAAAAGTCCGAAGTTTTGAAAAATTACATACCAGTAGACCTGGATGAACCACCTTCATACCTGGATGAGCTACTTTCTAGAAAGAGAGGGAAAAGTTGACATATAGAACAATATAATTTTTTTATAATTTCACATGTACAAACTACTATTAAAATATGAAATTCATCAAATAGTAAAAGTTCGTTCACAACATTTTCTTCAGAATTTAATGACTGAGATTGTTAAGATGCGACACATTATTTCAAATTTTTTAATTAAAAGCAATTCTACAACATCTAAGAACATAATATATACCTTGCTTCAAAGCAAATCAACATTATCCTTGAACCAAAACATACTCAAATATAAAGATCTGAGCTTTAGGGATATGCAACCATCATTCTGATAAAAAAAAATCGTTTCATTTAAATACATTGATACAAGCTTAAAAAAATAAAAGCGATCAATTTATTGAAAGAAAATTTCATAAATATTCCATTATTTAAAGTTACTTGGGTTAACATATCCTATTTGTACAGAAGACAGCCCATGTTTACAGAAGTTTCCTGTGAAAACATAAATATATAATCAAGAATTTTAAGTACACTTCTGACTTTTATTCAATTCTTCTTTTTTCACTGACAGATGATCCAAGATTTCTACCTTTATCCTTATGGCTTTGCCGGTCAGAGAGTTTCCATTATTTAATGTTATTCGGTTAATATATTCTATTTTCCTATACAGAAGTCAATCCATGTTCACAGAAGTTTCCTGTGAAGAAGTAAATATATAATCAAGAATAAGTACATTTATGACTTTTAAGTCTATTCTTCTTTCCTCACTGGCAGATGATCCAAGATTTCTACCTTCCTCCTTATGGCTTCGTCAGTCAGAATCATATATATATATATATATATATATATAACAAATATTTCATGATGTCTTTTAGAAAGTATATACACACGCATTTTGAAATATGTCCAACAAATTAAGACACTATATTAAACATACATAAATCCAGGAGCATTTAGCATTAAAATCAAGAAAATAACCCTTTCGCATGGCAGTTTCGAGATATTGGGACTTTCTTAGCGAAACTATGTGCCAGTTAGAGGGATAATACCATAAGATGCTTCATAAAAATGAACTTGCACAATAAATAGATAACATATGTTTAAATGCACCAGGTAAATGAAACTAAATTTATTTATAACCAGAAATTTTTGGAAGAATGGAAATTCATCCAAAGTATTACTAATGGCAATTCAATGACAGCCTATTAAAAAGCAGCCTTTACTCAAATAATTTAAAATATGAGAAAAACTTAAAAAAAAAAAAAAAAAAAAAAAATTTCATATTTTTGCACAAGTGGCTTAGGCTATCTGCTTAGTAGGCTGCTTTCAATCTTACAAAGAATGTGACAGATGACTAATGAGAGCAAGGATACACAATTTATAAGAACTATTTTTTCCTCACAACTTCTAGTAAAATAAATTAAATATAAATGCCTCCTTTTAAAAGGAGCAAGATGAAAAGTGGGTTTTATGCTAAAATAGTAAGACATGACTAATGGTGCAATATATGAAATACAGAATATATGAAAAATGTATGTTGTCAAATTGAGAAAACTATTAAAGTGTGCCAACTCAGGCCTACCTACATGAACTCACTTCAGTTTTTATATCCGATCTTTCAAGTTGAACAGATATTGGGGTAATATATTTTGGCTTAAAACATCAAATTATACCTCAGAAAATAAGATATGTCTTCAGCAAAAGCATAATACTTAAAAAAGAAAACAAACTGAAATTTTAACAAGACATGCAAGTTCACTTTTTTTTAGATTAAATCTCGTTAGCTATAATTTGCTAACAAATGCATGGATGATGAAGATTAAATTCTGCTATATATTAGATTTTGTATAATTTGACTCATGCAATACTTTTGATATGATGCCCAGCACAATAAGTCAAATGAGTGCTCGAAACATTACATGTTTTCAAATCAATATTTTCTGGCATACATTAATCGCAATCAATTTCTGAGACACTAAGTAAATTTTTACTTATTACCAAATTGATAAGTTTGGTAAATGTCAATGAAGTAGTACTAATTATGATGTCATGGTTAACAGAAGTGACTCTTCAATCCCATTCAGGCCAGATTTTAGCTAGAAACAACACATTATTCTCATTTTACAACTGACAGAAGCAAGCTTTAGACAGTACTCGAAATGAATTATCTGTTAGGTGTTTTACTATAAATTAATATAATTTAACATGTAATTATAGTTTAATATACAGTAAGACCCTGCTTAACGCGGAGTATACATTCCATTAAAGTAGAGTGTAATATGAAACAGCGTTAAAGGAGGTTATCTCATCATATAAATAATGGGGTTTCGAAAGATGGGTAGAAAACTGGTCACGTATTTTACCAAATTTTATTATATTTTTTATAACAATAAAACAAAAATTTATTTCTTACAAATATAGAAACATAATAAACGAATAAACATATAAAAATAAATAAAATTCTCAGTATGTTTACATTTCAGATCATTCAGTCTTTTCTGTATTTCCAATTTTCTGCCTTTTTATCAAGTAGGTATCTAATGTAATTTGCGTTTTCCTTTTGCACTCTGTCAGAAGTTGTTGGTAAGTAGATAAGGTATCCATAACACCTCGTCTTGCCTTTGAACTCCTGTCAAAATTTGGGTCATTTTCAATAAATCGGTCCATAATTTCTGTTATAGTGGTCAAACTGGTTTTTGAAACACTATTGAAAGTTCTTTTTGCTCTTCTTCAGAATCACTACTTTCAATATCTTTGTGTTCTTCTTGGTCCGCTAATTCCTTGAGCTCATCATTAGAAAGACTTGCTGCTGTTTTTTGCACTAATTTTTTGACATCTTCCACATTTACCTCATCTAAACCGGTTTGTTTCACTAATTCCACTATTTTTTCCACTGTTTCATTCATATCGACAGAGTGTCCAGTGTCACCGCCCTTGCTTAGATCTGGCCAAATGTTCTTCCCCACCCCTTTCAAACATTTTTCTGTTACTTCATCTCAAGAAAGATCTATATTTTCTACAGCATTCATGATATTGCAGTTTTTCCAAAACTCTCTTATTGATTGTTTCTCTGTTTTTGTCTGATCGTCTGTTTTTTCAAACATCTGTCTAAATGTTCACCGCAGGTAATAAGCCTTAAAATTTGATATAACGTCTTGATCCATTGGCTGGATTAAGGCACTTGTGTTAGGCGGCAAGAAAACCACTTCGACTTGAATGCATGTTATTAAGTCAGATAAATTCGTTAGATGGCACTACTTATCAATTAAAAGTAGTGCACTTGATTCAAGTTTTTTAATTTCGCAATAGCATTTAACAGACGGGCAAAAATATTCAGTGAACCAATTCTGGAAAATTTTCATAGTTATCCATGATTTTTTATTAGACCCCAAATTACAGGTAAAGTTGATTTGGATATTCCTTTCATAGCTCTTGGGTTTTTGGAATGGTAAAAAAGTAGTGGTTTAATTTGAAATCTCCACTTGCATTACCACCCAGTAGAAGTGTTAAGCGATCCTTTGCAGCTTTAAATCCTGGTGCACGTTTTTATTTTTGCACGTTGGGATAGAAATATTCGTTTTGGCATTCTTTTCCAAAATACGCTTGTTTCATCAACATTAAAAACCAATTCTGGAGGATAGTTTCCTCTTTCAATTATTATTTTTAATGTCGCTGAGAATTCAGCCACCGCTTTCGTATCATCACTTGCTGCTTCTTCTGTAATCTGTAAGTTATGAAGATTATTTCGATGTTTAAATCTATTAAACCATCCTCGACTTGCAACAAAAGTTTCGCTTGTGTGACTTGCCTCAACCTGAATGTAATTAAAAATTCTTCTTGCTTTTTCCATTATAATAGATTGGCTTAATGGCATATTGCGTTCAATTTCGTCATCAATCCATATAGAAAGTCGTTTCCATTTCCTCTATTGTATTATTTCTAAGAACGGGTAATTCTAGTTGCAGAGCTTGTCTAGTTGCAGTTGCCGATGGCAGTACTTTTTCTTTATTCTTAAGAATACTTATTGCTGAAGTTGCCAAATTCAATGCAGCAACAATTTGAGATTGACTTTTACCAGTATCTAATCTTCTAATCACTTGCATTTTAGTTTCTAGTGAAATGCTTTTTCTTGTTGCTTTATTTTCTCGTGTTTTTTATTATCATCCATGATAAAACCTAAAAATCATAATATTTGTCACTACATCAATCATTATATTATATAAATTTATACTTACAATAACGTCAACAAATGTTTGAAATGATAAAAATACGTTCTTATAACACCGCAGAAAGAAGAAACACAGATAAACTGCTTCGGATATCAGAAAGCCTAACACTGCGTGCAATATCGAGGAATCCCACAATTTAAATAAAAGAGCATTAAACCAAAACAGCATTAAGTGGGGTCTTACTGTAATTTATATTTAATTATAATTTAATTCAAACCTTTAATGTTACTGCATTTTATTTAAACACATTTTAGAAAGAATGATTACTTATGTTAATAACCTTGAATGATAATGAAAAAATGAGAGAATTAGGCAGGATGAAAAAAGGAATGAAACATGAAACTCTGCACGAAATAGGGCATATTTTTACCTTATTTGTACACAGCAAACAGAATCCTGATACTTTTTGCTTGAGGTTTTTTAAACCTTTTTAAATATAACTTGCCAGGAATGAGCATTAGTTGCAATTTTTAAATACACTGCATTTTCAAACAGAAACCATGTTACAACACTCTTTTTTATCAATTCAAAATTTAATTTCTTAGGTGACATTTATGCGTGCAATAACTTAACCAATCTTAAACTGCACTTTAATCATTAGTCAAAAAAGGGGGGAATTATTCAACTTCTGAAAATTTCTTAATGGCTATATTATTTTTACAGAAAATAACTGCCAACAGAACAGCATAAAAGATAAATGTGAAAGTCATTTAAAAGTAATGCACTCATGCCTCTTTCCCCACTCAGGTTTTATTTTAACTCAGATAGTTTTTCTCCCTACAATCCTATTTAGG